ATGTGTTCAGTACATGTTAGTTTTCATTCCTTTCTCCTTTACTGTAATTTTTTTCAGCCAGTTGTTTTTCTTTCCTTCCCCTCTCCAATCCATCCACAACATTACCATTGAATTAAACTTCTCACAGCACCGATCGGTCATTAAATCAGTGCCAACTCACAGGAACAGAATGTTCATCATGTGAACTCATCACAATTGAAATACTCATTATTTTTCTGATGTGGTTGCAGAGTTAGGACACCAGGTAGGCCTTACGAGCTAAGCCTTGTAGTGGAGGTTTTGGTCATCACCTGCTGAAACACCCTTCCATCTCTCCACTGCTCATTGCCCCACTCAAGGGAAGGCCATTCTCCTAGCATGGTGCCCGAACCCCTGCTCTGTGTGGTCCTAACCAGCCTCCCCACCGTGTTACTTCTGCTGGCCAAACTGAAGGGCTCCTCAGTCTCTGAACTCTTGGTCTTCCATGGCATTTCTTGGCTGTCCCCTCTGCTAGAAATGCCTTATCCCCTTCTCTCTTGGCAACGGTGCCGTCTTGGTGAGGCCCCATGCAGCCCCGCTGATGAATGTGCTTTCCTTCTCCCTGCTATCACTCATATGCTTCTTTGGGGATTTCCACGTTCTGGGTGGGTTTATGGCTATTTTTGTATGTCTCGGCCCTCCGAACTAGACTGTGATCACCCCCAGGAAAATGCATTATCTCCAACCTTAGCATGCTGTATGAGGGCCTTACACATGCCGTTACTCCATGATACATTTGTCACAAATACACACAAATTTTGTTGAGCTTATTAAGCAGGATCCTACATCTGAAAGCAGTTGTTGTGAAATGAACAACTACTTATTAGCAACAGCACCAAAAACACCAACACATTTTGTGTAGGCTGCTGAACAGTCATGCCCCACGCCTTCTGTTCTTAGTAAAAGTCAAACGCAGACACTTCCTGTCATGCCTGCTATGAGTGATTCCTAATCTTTACTGAGAACAGGAGGATACGTGATTCTAGAATGGAGAGCAAAACAGCCAAGTAGATCATCTATTTCTGATTACAAGTTTCTAGGATAGCTCATTCTTGTAGACAGTCTTTATATTACTCTGTGTCTTCAGAAAAGAACAGAAAATCAAATGTCAATGGCTTCAGATTTCTGGGTTTTCCTTGAGGGTTTGCTGAGATGGTAACCTGTTGTATTTCCTGGATTGTGGTTCAGGATTGTTAGGCTGTGATAATCCCTTATGTGAAGCCTCTTTGAATAAAAATTTTGGTTGAAAGTTGGGTTTGACAGAAAGTTGGCCTATAATTTTTTTTTTTCTGGACAGAGTCTTACTCTGTTGCTTTGTGATCTCAACATGCTGAAACCTCTACTTCCCCAGTTCGAGCGATTCTCCTGCCTCAACCTCCTGATTAGCTGGGATTACAAGTGTGCGCCACCATGCCTGGCTAATTTTTAGTTTTAGTGGAGATGGACTTTCACCAGGCTGGTCTCAAACTCTTGACCTCAAGTGATCCATCCGCCTCGGCCTCCCAAAGTGTTGGGATTACAGGCACGAGCCATTGCACCCAGCCTTGCCTATCATTTTTGAATAGCTTTGGAAGCAATGTGAGACAAGCTCCTCAAGGGCATTAAAGAAACCTCTGTACATCATCAAAGTATTCTTCTTGAGCGCCTGCAGTAGGCTGTGGCCCCGTGTCCTCTCCGAGTGATGCAAGTTTTGCTCCCTCTCTTCTCTTCCTGTCTCGCTTTTCTCCACAGAGAATACAGATTGTCTTCCTTCCCAAAAGACTAAAGCATAAGTTGCAAGTGATGAGTCATTCTCCTGTAACCCCAGTGTCCACTGACTGTCGGGTGTGGGGATGGTTAGCAGATGGTTAGAGTACTGTAGCATAGGTCTGATACTATAATGACCTTAAGTCCTGGAGACCCCGCTTTAGACATTCTATTTCACTGTTAGACCTTAAGACCTAATTTTAGGTTTGGAAAATAATCCTCAAGACCACTTATAATTCATAAAGCTGCCGTTTTATGCAGAAAAAGAACGGTCCTCCTGAAATGTGTCAACTGCTAATCCACTTTAGGCCTGACACTGAGTGAGAGGGCCCAGAGAGTGGGAAGAGTTGGAATATGCCCTCTGGGTTTTGCTAGTACAGAAGCAGGGTGTCCGGGAGGCCCCTTCCAAGTCAGAGGAGAGAGGGAGCAGAGTGAGCTGGTGTTCCACCTTGTCACCCCTCCCCCAACCTGCTACACTGCTGTTGATTTGCTCATTCTTGCTGTGCCTGGGCCTGGGGTGCCTGTCCTCACCCAACCTGCTACACTGCTGTTGATTTGCTCATTCTTGCTGTGCCTGGGCCTGGGGTGTCTGTCCTCCTTTCTTAGCTCTGGGACCTGCTATTTCTCCTTTAAGATCCCGCGCAACAGCAGCTTTTCTTATGGATTCCAAAGGCGCTGAGAGATTTTGTTTTTCCCTGTGTGTTCCAAAGTGTTCTCATCTAGGCATGACATAGCATTTATCACAAAGTAGCAAAGTTAGTTATGAACCTTTTTGTCTCTCTAACTCGACTGTGAATTCTTGGGCCCAGGGCCATGTTTTATGCTCTTTAATATCTACCCCAGAGCCTAGCAAAGGGCATATCAGTTAGAAGTACTCCCCATCATTTGAATGAATGAATGGGGTTCAGCCTTTTGGGCCTCAAGTATAGTTGTAAGATCAGAAACCATCTGTCTAGAACTTGTTCGTTAGATTATTTTGGCTCTCAATGGTTTTCGTATGTCTTTATGTTCTCCTTTAGTATTTAGAAAATTCTCTTTAAAATTACCTGTTTTAACCAGGTTGCAGCAGCGCCTTCCCCAATAAAAGATTGCTCCTTGCTTCTTCCTCTGCCCCCAACAAGTTCCAGAGGCCAGCATGGAGGTGACAGCTGGGATTATGTTGAGTGAATCCCAAGAACATGGCCTGCTTGTTTTCATATCATAATCTTAGAGTTTTGGGATTTTTTTTTTCTACTTAGAATTGTTCCTTTACAGTTGATGTTATAGGCAAGCAGTGCCTATCACGTATCTGTCAGTATCCTCACGAGTATATTGCTCTAGGAAACTCTCTCAACGAGTGATCGGGAGAGAGAACTCCAAGCAAGTCCATCTATCATATGACTCGAGTAAATGAAAGGCAATTCTTTGTAAAATGTGAGTTATGGAGCTTTGTAATGTGCCATTTATCTATGTCTACTGTGGAAAGGAAGGACACCAGGGCAAGTTTATTACTTAAACATTGAGTGTTCTCCGTTGTCTTCAGGGCTTAATTTTCCACACCTTGTTCTGAAACATATGAATTATAAGTTCCAGAGTGAATTTCCATGAAAACATTGATTAAGCACCAAGAGTTGCTTACCTACACGGAGTAGGTATTTGTCCTTGCTGATTACCCTTCTGTGTCTAATTAAATACAGTTCGGTTAAAAGTTTACTTCCCCACATATGCAAGGAATATCTTCTTGGAAGAAAGCGAAACAGCTCTGGAAACTGGAAATAATCTAGAACTCTCAACGAGGCAGGTAAGCTTTAGAATTTCCCAAGGATTAGAGCAATGAATTCAGTCAACCGTAGATTTCAAAAGCTGTACTAAGAAATGAAATGGAAGGATCCCTACATTTCTTTTTCCTCCTATCAAAATAATATTGACACAGAACCACAAACCTTGGTCGAATGGAACAAAATGGAACTATTTGCATTCATGCTAAATGGATAACACATGAAATACTTAGTTCCAGGTTTTAAGAAGTCAATATAAACCACACAGAGAAAACCCATTGTTTCCAGGCGTCCTTTACAAAACAATAGCAGCAGGTATTGCACACACAGACAATACTGTCCTAACGCATTAGAGCCTAAGTCGCCTGAAGACATTCAAGTTAATAGGGCTCAACCTACCAATGTTTATTCAGCACCTGCTTCTCTGGTCTCCACTACATCCTACTTGTATTCCCAGGGCCTGGTCCTCCTTAAATGCTTAGCAAGCAGGTGAATGTTGTATGTCCACGTGGTAGATACTGGCATTCCCAGGGTGCTCAGCACAGTTGCAGTCACATAGTAGGTATCTGAACAAAATATGAAGGAAAACATGGATACTGTCTTCAAGAGGTCACGGGCTAAACTAGGGCCGGGACGAGCTCTTGGTACTGCGCACTTCCTTGGAAACAGGAGTGATGCAAGGCTTGAGGCAGGCATGAGGGAGTTCAGAACCATTGAGGGGAGCCTCTATTTCTTCCTTGTAATTGCTTTCCGCTTCAGTGCACCACCCAACAGGGCCAGTCCCCTATCAGGGCCACCACTCTGCCGGGCTGGGGAGGGAGGCCCTTGGCAGTCCTGCGGGAACAGGAGGCACTCCCACATCGCTCCACTTCTCTGTATTCCAGTTTGATTAATTTATATTTTTGAATAAAACTACACCCACTCTCTTCCATTATGGTGAACACTTAAAATTACATTTATAGAAAATTACATTTACGCAAATTTGTTTAAAAGCCAAATCCCAGACCTAGGCTATTGGCCAAATTCCACTGAAAGGGGATATTAAGTAAATTAGTCAAGCTGATTAAAAACACCTTCATCAAAGTAGAACATTGGTGCCAACAATATTGAGTTGAACTACTGATTAAAAACATTTTTTTCCACAGCAGATACTACATTAGCAGAGAGAAAAAGTGATTACCCTCGCCTCCACTTTACAGGTGGAGATGGGGGTGACGCGGTAAGATGGGAGGGCATGAAGGGAGGGGACCGGGCCTAGGTCAGGAGGGACGCAGAGGAGGAAGGGACAGGAGGGGTGGAGGCTGGTGGCCCGAGGGGGGCAGAGGTCAGAGCCTCGAAGGAGGGCGCTGTGGGGGCGGAGCCGCGGCTGCCTCTACTGCAGCCCCGACGGGCCGGACACCAGCCGCAGCCGCGAGCGGGTCGGACGATGGAAGCGCGCACCGGGACGCTCCCGCTCCCGGCCGCCAGAGGGCGCGGCCGGCGATGGCGCGGCGGAGCCCGAGGAGGGAGGAGGGGAGCCAGCCGAGAAGGGTCAGCCGCGGCGGCGGGGCGGCGGCGGCAGCGGCGCAGCTCCGCTTGTCTCCCGTCCCCGCGCCCAGGTAGGGAGCGCAGCCTCCGCCGCCGGGATGCGGCCGCCCGCCTGTCGCGGTTGCTGCCTCGCGCCGCCGGCGCTGCTCGCGCTCCTCACCGGCTTCCTGGGTAAGTAGCGGGCGGCCAGGCGCGCACGGGGGAAGCGAGGGGGTCGCGGCACAGTCGCCGGTGTCCTGGTCGGCGCGGGAAGGGAGGCGCCGGGCGGCCCAGCCCTGCCCCGCCGGCGCCCGTGTCCCGCCGTCCGGTCCCCGCCACGCCGGCAGCAGCGCCCTCTCGCGGCGCTCTGGTGGGACCCAGCCCCAGGACCAGTGGCGCGCCCGCCCGCCCTGCCCCTTTCGGTCCCGGGTGCCTGCCGCCGCCCCGGCACCAGACTCGCGTCTCCCCGCCTCCTCCGCCCGGAGCCGGCGGGCGGCGGAGCTGCAGGGCGCCGAGGGCGCGGCTGCCGCCCCCACAGGAAACGCGCAGGAACTGTGCCACTGAAGAAACTTTGAAAGAGCGCGAGCGGCGGCGGCGGTCCCGCCCCCCTGCCTTCCGCCCGCGCTCCGCTGTTCTGCGCGCCCCGCGCCGGGCGGGAGGCTGGACGGGAGCAGGCGAGGCGACCCCCGAGGCCCCGCGGCTCCTGCTGGACCCCAGGGGCGAGGACGGTGGTCTCGGTGCCCGCGCGCCCATCCGCGGGGCCTTCAGGACGTGCCCTGGCCCCTGAGGATAAGCGGCCAGCTCCGCGGCAGCTCTTCCGGGATTCCGACCCGGAGGAGGACAGGGGCGCCCGCTGGGCCTCCGCGGGAGCGGGCGCGGCGTGGGGGACGCCGTGGGGAGACTTGCTCCAGTCTCGGGTCTCCGCTGGGGACATCAGGGGACAGGTCTGGGAGCAATGCTTGCCTAGTCTCCTGCTGCTGTAATGCCCGTTCTTTTTAATCTCCATTCTCCTCGCAAGGGCATTTCCCCCCTTTATCGTAAAACGATGTAATAAAGTTTTTTTTTTTTTATTTTTTAAAGCAGTCTTGTAATTGAGTTTCGTGATGAGATTTGTTCAAGTTTGAAAGCTTGAGCGAAAAATTATTTTCTTTACAGACTGTTAGAGAGTTGTCGTCTAACCCAGACTTGCTGGCATTTCCAGCCTGTGAAAAGGTAGTAATTTCAGATTTTTTAAGAAATGGCAGAATGGTGCCGTTTAGGAAAAGACGTAGCGTTATTGCGCACTGCTCTTGTTAGCCCACGAGAACCTAGACAGCCCGTTTTTATTTGGATTTCAGCTCTCCGTGTAAGGATTAATTGCTCCTTTTGTGTGCTTCTGGCATTTCTATAGGCTCTCAGTAAGTGTGGGAAAAGAGCGAGATTAGTTGGTAATTAATTGTTTACTTGCATGATTAATTAGGTAGCAGTGTAATTAAAAATATTAGGGTACCTTGGGCAGAGAAGGCTGTAGTTGGTCTTGGGGAGCAACCGAATTTGGCTGGAATCGACTTAAGTGGAAGAAAGGCATTGCTGGGTGGCAGCCCTAGGAGAAAGGAGGTTGGAGGTTTGCATCAGTTGGCTTGTCGCCTGGATGTTTTGCAGCTAACCAAATGGGTGGGTGGTAGTTGAAATTGGCATTCTATTTATAGCACCGCAGTTTATAATGCTGTACTGGGGGTATAATATTTGTATATAATATATACAACATATGGGCTGAAATGCACATTTGTATTGCTGCGTCTATTTTTTTACTGCCCTTAGGGGAATATTTGCACTGTCCAAATTTGATAATACACTGAAGGACATTCAGAATGCACTAAAATGTCAACACATTTTTGGAGATGTCTATTAGCCTTGTGAAGTTGTCAGATAAGCACAATAAATAAGACACAAAATGCATTAAAAGGTCCCTGTGAGACATTTGGGCTTTGTGAACTGGTTTTCATGGGTTGGCACAGTCAGGAGGCTGTATTCTTCGAAGTCTGAAGTGAATCATGAATACCTTTTATGGAGCTCTGCTTCGATTTAGGGGAAGGACACCGACAAGTATAAAGATGTCCCCACTCACGGTGTTCTTGGCATCTTGCTAAAACAGAGAATTTGACAGGTATTTGAGGCATGGGAACAATCCTGATAGTTTACAGATACCTTAAATATTCCCATATAAGATTAGCCTGACTATATAGTTTAGTTTCCCCACAAACTAGAGCATATTTGTTTATGTTTTTAGAGAAAAGCCAATGTAGAAAATATCTTTTAAACCCACAGGCATACACAGACAGAATTCATTGCAACTTTGGTTCTAAAGTCTGGCACCAGTTTCAGAATGAGAAGATTTATTCTAGCCTCCAGGTTACCATTCGTTAGTCATGTGGCTTTTAGTGGCTTTGAGCTTCAGTTTTCTTATATGAATGGGAAGCATGGTCTAGATAGAATGCTAGCACTTTGCCACCTCTTACAGTTTTAACATACTGATCCCATGGTAGCAGAGACTACCAGCCGCCTGCACACTAACCCTTTGGCCCTTGTTTTCCTAAAAAATCTAATATAATACGGGTCAAGGGGAAGGGTGGAGGAATGATGGTGGGGTGGTGGCAGCAGCAATATAAAACATTTCTCAGTGGCCTTTGCATATAGGGGCAGCTAGTGCTCTACAGAGATATCTTTAGAGACTGTTGGGTGGGGTTCCTGGTAAAGCTCATTCATGGTGGCTGACTCAGCTGGATCCAGGCCATTTTGCTGTTTCATCCTCCTTCCCATGGCCTGTTAAGTGGATCTGGTGGATGGAGCCATGGTGGCTGTCTTGTGACCATGAGCTGACCTTGAAGATGGAAGCCCGTAGTAAGGGTGGTAGAGGAAAAAGAAGCCTGGATGCCAGATGGGTATGAAGCACTATGCCAGCTCTACATCACCTGTCTGCAGACTTGTATTGCATGAGATTATATGCATCCAAACCTAATCCTATTGCTAAACCTAATCCTAATTGATAGAAGCTTATTCAAACCAATGATATTGATAAAATAATAGGTATTAGCTTTTATTTTTCACATCTCTGTCTCTTCTCAGCGTGAGCCAACGTTGTATTTCTTAGCACCTGCCAAAATTGGGGATGGTTTTTCATTCTGAGCCAGGTCTTGCTCAGATTCCTTTCATTGCAATGAGTCGGAAATTTTAGGACACCAAAAGTCGGACCTAATTCCTGGTTGTTTTGTGGTTTTTGTTTCTTAAAACCCTCTCTTTATTTCTTAAGCAGTTTGCAAATATCACTGGCACAGATTTTAATCTTCTGGATGGATTCTTTGTCATCCAGGTAGTCCATAACCCCCAAACTGGCATGGCCCCCCTAGTCATGGACTTGACCCAGGGGAGTTTGCCAACAGTTAAGTTAGTGGGAGGGAGGGAGAGCATCTGTTTCAAATAGCAATATGAATTGGAAGGATCTGTTCTGACCCCTTTGGTAACTTCCTGGGGGACAAACATTGTGGGCTCGGTATTTGAGCACTTTCTCATAATTGGCTCTTTTGGAGCCAGTTTTTTTTTTTTTTTTTTTTTTTTGCATTTTACTAGACACATTATGAAGCAAGCAGGCCAAACGTGTTTAGGCACAAAGGTACTACTTACAGAAAAGTTGCAAATGTTCTATGTTTCTTCCTCTTGTGGCACTGTGCGTGATCCATCTTTGATTTTGCACATATTACTTCTTAAGAACACTATGTGGGAGTCCCCATGGGTTAATCCCATCATTCCCATGATAAAGGAAAAGTTGTGAGTTTCAAGGGTTCATCAGACCTGTTGAAGAAGTTCTTCCTTATAACCGTGATCTCAAAGTTCTAGTCACTAAGCAATCCTCAAAGAAACCTGATTTAGTGTAGGCGTTGATTTGAACTACTAGAAGCATGTCAATTTAAAAATAGTATTAAAAGGGGCCGGGTGCGGTGGCTCAGGCCTGTAATCCCAGCACTTTGGGAGGCTGAGGCCGGTGGATCACGAGGTCAAGAGATCAAGACCATCCTGGTCAACATGGTGAAACCCCGTCTCTAGTAAAAAAAAATACAAAAAATTAGCTGGGCATGGTGGCGCGTGCCTGTAATCCCAGCTACTCAGGAGGCTGAGGCAGGAGAATTGCCTGAACCCAGGAGGCGGAGGTTGTGGTGAGCCGAGATCGCGCCATTGCACTCCTGCCTGGGTAACAAGAGCGAAACTCCATCTCAAAAAAAAAAAAAAAATAGTATTAAAAGGAAAAACTGCCCAAAGCCTCTCACTTATTCAGAGTAATGAGGGTACTTACCATGTGTCAGGCATCGGGATGTTGCAGGAACAAGACAGATCTAGTCTGCCTCTACCCTTGGGGAGCTTGCAGTCTGAAAGGCAGTAACGACTATGGAACAAGTTGTCCCCGTGCTAAATGCTGTGAAGAAATGTTCAGGATGCTGTGAGAGCGTGTTGCAGGAAAGTAGATGGCTTTTGCTTAGACTGAGGAAGTGGATCTCAACAGGGAGCCATCTTGCACCCCAGGGAACATTTGCTGCTGCTTGGATACTTAGGGGCTGGTTTCGCAGAGGGTGCTGCTGACATCTAGAGTCAGGGATGCCACTGAACATCCTTCAAAGGCACAGGACAGTTCCACCCCACCATTGAACAATTAATTATCGGATCCAAAATGCTGATAGTGCCAAGGTTGAGAAACTGTGGGGCAAGGGGCAAGGAAGGCTTCCTAGAGGATGTGATGTTAGAACTCAGACCTGAAGGGGAAGCAGAAATCAGGTAAGTTGGGGTCAGAGCTTGGTGGTGAAGGAGCCAAGTGGAGAAAAGAGGACTGAGGACTGAAGGGCTGGCAGGATCAGTAGGGGCCAGGTTGGGCAGGGCCTTGCAGATTGGGGACAGATTTTGGGGTCATCCTTAGAGCAGAGGGAAGTGTTTGAAGGGCTATAATGGGCAGTACGTGATGTGACTGCCGTTTCCTGAAGCACACTCTGGCTGTCCAGTGGAGCAGGAATTGGAGGGGCCATCGTGGACATGGGGAACTGTGAGGAGGCTGCTGGAGACAGGTCAGTGAGAGGTGATTAAGAGTCTCTCAGGCTCTGGGACTGATTGGGTTCAGCGTGCTGAGAGAAAGGTGGGGGCAAGGATGGGTCATCTATTTCTGTCACCTC